ATATTTTATGTAATATTAAATATCATAAAACGAAACTTGAAGATCCTTTGGATGCTACCAGCAAATGTCAATTACACTAAGATCTCTGAGCCTCTAAAGGAAAAACTTTTACACGAATTTACTGCCAAATTTTTGGTGTCACGCAATTGATTTATATTACGTATTATTTAAGATAAAATTTAATGAGTGGTAAATTGTGTTAACAAAATAATAGATATATTACCATTCCCAGAGTTTCAAGTAAAAACTGCTCCGAGTACTTAAATATAGAGTTCGTGATCCTCTATAACTACGTGTAACAAATTATTGTTTCAAAAACAAACATTTCTTTCGGAACAAGAAAAAAAATTATTTGGAATGAGCTTATGCAATGTACAGTAACCAGACCAAAATACAGGAATAAAAGGGTTGTCAGTTGGGTTGGCGCATATCAGCATTCGAAACTGAAGAACATTGTGCTCAGAAAAATTCTTATAACTTAAATAAACAGGCAAGAGCTGCTTGTCATATGAAAGCAAGCTTCCTATAAGCATTGGTTGTGAGAAAAAACGCACCCGACAAGGGAAATGCTGACCTTCGATTTCCTTTTTAAATAGCTCTTGTAATTTATATATGCTTCGTACCTGTGCTAGTATTATCAGAATCATAACTACCATTATTTTCATTGTGACTTCAAAATTTCACTGTTACAGCACAGAACATGACCCTTCTCAGACGTTCCCATGGTCGCCAATTCTTGGTCATGTGATTTAAATACACTTGGTCTGGTAACGCACAGCCATGTTTGCGTAGACTCATTGTTGCTTTTTGCTACTATGGGCACATGCCATGATCCTTTTTCTGATTCCTGAAACGCAGATTGGAAGTCATCACTATGTATAAAAATATAAATAAAACCTATATCTCGATGAAAATAACATCAAATATTTATGCAGTAAAAATGAATTTGACGTGGCGTTCAAAACAATATCCAATCAATTCAATGTTTAGTGCAAGGTTTCAGAGGTAAACAGAGAGGCTAAAAACTTTAAACATGCTTTTCTTTTAAAGTTTAGTGAACTATCATACTAAAACAAGCACATCATGGCATGTTAACATTCCAGCATCTTTTCTATCGTTGGGTAGAAGTTATTTCCAAAACCAAATCTTCTTTCATTAAAACCATAACTTATCCAAATAACAAAGGAAAAGCTTTTAGCAGGTTTCATAAAATTGTCATGACTTCAGCACAACTGTGGGCAGAACAGGCTACTAAACGAAGCTGCAGTGACAATTAATATATGATACCTGGATCACGAAAGAATATGGTGGTGGCATCTCAAGTTTCAGATTACCTTTCACAAAAGTATATCGGACCTGAAATTTGCAGGAATATGTTTAATGAAAATAAATCCCCACCTGATTGTTCTAACAAAATCAAAGTTACAAGTCATGAAAACTGAAAATGGAATCAGGATACTTTGAGATCCTTACAAAATAGTACAACTACCACCTATTCAATATCATTTAGAACAAGTTTGTAAAAGCATGACTAAGTAACTTACTTCACAGGAAACATAGAACAATATGCATGTAACTTTATCGCTCTTCAGATGAATAAATAAAGAATAGGTTTAACCTTAAATTCATTGAAAATACGATGACACTTTTATCTTTTTTCATTTAACCCTTGATAAAATAAGTCTTATTCACTAGAATCATTGACAAACTTCCTCTCTCCCATCCCCTACGAAAAAAGAATGGAGTATTAAATGCCTTCACTTGCAGGATGTGACTTCACCAAGCAACCAAAAGGGGCATACAAAGCTATTAGATAGAACCACGGTGTACTATCAAAAAAGTCTTATCCAGGACAACTTTGACCAATAAAACCACTCATCATCGAATAGGATCACCTTTCATGGCTCTATATAGAAGACCAAAATCAATACAGTGGGTATGTTTCTACATTAAAACAAGTATTTTAATAAAAGAAATATCATGTATTGTGATCATATCCTAACATACACCTATGTTGTTCTACAAAACTTATAAGAAATGAAATTATTCAGCTAGAGAAGACCCGATAAATCACCAAACCATTGCATGATTTTCATCAAGAGCTTTAGGCGTTATATATCTATGGTACCAATAGAAATCTTTATGAATTCTCAAAAATTCAACTGCACAACTTACCATAAAAAAACAAAAGAAAGGAAGATTAATGACAGAGACAAATGAAATAACATAATAAACCTGAGAATTAACTGAGTATAAACTGTCTAAGGTATTAAGGATGCACATACTTGATGTCTTTCTTTCCATTTTTGAAGAAAGTTGCTTCCTAAGAGTTCGAAAATGTGATCACGCATTTCATCATTCGTCACAAGCAAACATTTGAGTTTGACAGCAGCATATAGCCAATACCTGAATTGAAGGGGCATTTATTAATCTTTGATCAATGTACCAGTAATAGTTAATGCGAAAAAACATGAACTACTAGGAAAAGGCAGGACTCAGCTTCATTAAATTAATCATTTAAACAGCTCACTCATCATGAAAGGAATATGTATGCATCCAGAACTTAAAAGGGGCAAAGGAAGCATGAGTAATGATGTTGCTTGAGTTTGATGGAAAAGTTGCAACAAAAGAATGTCAAAATTCAGATCATAAGTACTTTAGCCACACATGAAATAAGCAAAAATGCATTAGAGATGCATACCAGTCATCATTGGAACCATGAGGTGTCATATAAAGAACACCCTTATCCATCCACTCCTCAACTAGCTTTCTGTGGAAAGGATTCTCCAAAAGTGACCGAAGACGTTTATTGTGCAAGATTACAAGGGGCCATTTATTATTACTTCTATCATACAGTTCTTTCACAACAGCATCAAGCTGCTCTATTGCAATTTTCAAAGCATAAATGTAATGCATTAGAGAAATATACAGTTAGCAAAGGGCCAAGCAAAACATGAGATAAATAAAAACAAATCATCAACTTTAGGTGTACAACCTGAGGAATGCTGAATCCTCCCTCAGCAAAGTTCTGTTGGTAGAGCCCAATATTAGCTCCATCCAGAATAGCTTCATAATCACCATGTTTTTCCAGCCAATCCTTTAGAAAGAAAATAAAATTAAAAGATTAATAAGGAAAAGCAGAGGAAGAGTGTTGATAATACAGAATAAAGGAGAACTTATATAAACATAAAGCAACGTTATGATTTGCAATGAAAATGCAATATTCTATAGCTGATCGAAATTTACTTAATTCTATAATTTATTTACCACTTATTGAGGCTGACCAGTTTATAGATTTTTTGTATAAAATTCGGAAACTCATCACTCAAGATTCAAAAGCTGAGGAACTTAAGAAAGTATTTCAGTAGGTTATCAAAGTTCGCCCATATAAACCATCACTGGGTGGCCTGATGGTAAAAGAGCAAAAGGAGGTTTCATGAGCTCCTAAGTTCGAGTCCCCCAAACACTAATAGGGGTGGCCACTGGGGCTCTTACTAGGCCAGCAGTTCAAGGACCTCGAGGATTAGTTGAGATGCGCACAAACTGGAGTGAACACCTCGGTGATTTAAAAAAAAAAAAAAATTCACCCATATATCCTGCTGCTGTACAGAGACATAAAAATGCATATCTCTGTTCCCAAGAAAGAGTAAGGAGCCCTTAATTTCATTCCTTTCTTTTTCTTCATTGTAATGGGCATGCGTTGAAAACTGAAAGCAAAGTATATTTGAATTTTTCAATGCCATAGACCATAGATTTCAAGAAATCTATAAAATGGAAAGCTAAAGTATCAAACCATGCAGTGACAGAATCACCAAATTCAACCAGCCAATATCAAATACTGATCCCTTAAATGACTGTTCCATTTGACATTTATTCTATTCTCAAAAGGCATAATAACAATTCCAAGCAACAAATTTACAGCAAAATAACCTCAACATGACAATACGCATTGAAATAGGGAAAAAGAACCACTCACTTGAAACTCCCTAAAATTAGCCTTGACCTCTCTCTCCATAGCCAATCCGGCAATCGACAGCGCAAACCTCTCAGTCTCCATATCATCAGTATCAACACAACACAACTGCTCACCACAACAACACTTTCCAATCTCATCCACAATCCCTCTCTTCACCAACCACTTGCCCTCCCCAATCCACCCTATCCCATGCCACCCTCCTCCGTTCTTCAAAATCGCTTCTTTCAGCATTCCCACACCACAACTCACTCCTTTAACCTCACTACCCTTTTCTCCACAAAACCAATCCTCAATAACTCTCCCCGTCTCTTCACTCGCACACCCTCCACTATTCCTCAACTTCTGCAAGTACCCATAAACTCTTTCTCCTCTCCCAGTCTCCGAGCTCACTTTCAACAATGCCGCGATCTCCGGCTCTTCCAAACTTAGCCCCATTAAACCCATATGCTCTTCCACTTCATAGGCCTTCTCAGCCTCTAAATTTTCACAAAAACAGAACAATGCCGGATCATATGTTCTCAACCTCGGAACAATATTAAACTCTTTATTCATTCTTTTAATCAACTCAAAAGCGTAACAACCATCTTTTCTGCCCGCCGCCAGCCTGGTAACAGCCGTGACCGAAGCCTCGTTTGGGTTGACGTTACTTAATAGCATGTGATTGAACACGCGAAACCCATAATCGATAGCGGAGTCTTTAGATGATGGATCAGTGATGAAGTTTGAACATAGGTAAAGAATAGCATTGAAGTGGTGGAGGGAAAGACGGAGGTTCTGAGAGAGAGCTGATTCGTATAAGGAAATTGCAGTTTGGAGGTCCTTGGATTTGGAGCATGACTGAAGGTTAACGAGGAAAGTGGTTTCAGGGTTTTGGCCGGTTTTTCGTTTTTTATTGGGTCTTGAATGGTTTGTGGTGTTTTCCATTGATTTTTCGTGAAAGGTTTTAGGGAGGTTTGAGAACCCTAATTAAATCAGAAGGGTCATGAGTCTGGACTTCTGGTTTGATTATCCCTCTGTTTTGGTGTCTACCCTTGTAAGTTGTAATGCAATTTACTCATTTTTACCCAAAAAAAAATACAAATCTATATCTTTATATATTTTCTTAACTCTCTATTAAATTAAAAAAAAAAAAATACTCACTCCATCACTAAACAGTCTAAGGGAGCGTTTGGTTGAGAGTAACGTGGGATTCCTAGATTCCGGTAATTTTCAAATATCAATAGTAGTTACTATTGGTAATATTGAAAGTAATCTAATTAACTCTATTTTTTTAGGTATTTTAAGATTACCAAAGTAATCTTTTTTTATTACAATTCTATCTCTTATTAATAAAATTTTAGGACAATAGTACCCTTATTTTTAAATTTATTTACATAAATATGGCTTTTACTATTTTACCCCAATTAATTAACTTTTTAGACAAAATTACCCTTGAATTCAAAACAAATTGCAGCCCACCCAAGCCATCACCCCACCCACCTGCCGCTGACAACCACCGCCGCTGCCACATTGGAACGGCTCATGGAAGGCCGAAAATGGCCGTCGTGTGCCGATATGACCATTTTGTACCAGATTTGTGATAGCGTGCCGAATGCACCAAATTAATTAACCTTACTAACCTAATTACTAAATTGTATATAGGGTGAGCAAGGGTTGATCTCACAGGGAATGATTCTATTAAATCCTATATTCTATGCCAATAACCACAACGAAGACAACAGGAAAATAAAATAGAATCCTAAACAGTAAACACGACTGCAGAATAATGAAAAGGGTTGTAATCAATGTAATCTAAAGTGAAACAAATAAATCTCTAATGGTAGAAAATATCAAATTAAAAACAACCAGTTCTCGGTTCAAGATCCACCTAAACATGCATTGGACANAGGGTTGATCTCACAGGGAATGATTCTATTAAATCCTATATTCTATGCCAATAACCACAACGAAGACAACAGGAAAATAAAATAGAATCCTAAACAGTAAACACGACTGCAGAATAATGAAAAGGGTTGTAATCAATGTAATCTAAAGTGAAACAAATAAATCTCTAATGGTAGAAAATATCAAATTAAAAACAACCAGTTCTCGGTTCAAGATCCACCTAAACATGCATTGGACACGAACTAACTATAACATTGTTCTATCTCGTTATTATGGAATTACTGACCCTAAGAAACAACAAGCTCTGTTACCCGAATTTTCCCTTAATAGTCACTACTGAAATAAGCTCTTCAATTAGATCTTTAACCCTTGAATAACCTAGAATAAGCTCTCTAAGTTTAATTCAATAGCAGCCTTAAGAATTAGGAAAATAGATCAATCCAAGCAACAATCACGCAAGATCAAATTATTTAACTTAGGTTATGTTATTCAAGGTGACAGACTAAAAACTTGTCCGTAATCATCTATCATCATGTATTGCTCATTGAATAGAAATAGGACAATTACGTATCACAATTCCTAATTCTAACAGATAAAATTTTGATTAAACAATTTAGCAGGCCATTACTGAATCACCCAAACAAAATTCATAAACAATTAAAACAGAATAACATAAACAATTCCAATGAGTATGAGATTGAGAACAATGTTACTGAAGTTAAGTTACATCAATGACATGAATTCATGCTTCAAAATCCCCTTGAACTGAAGAAGAAAGACCAACCGCACATATTGCCGAAGAAAGTAAAAAAAAAAACTAAAAACTCAACTCTACTGCTGTTCTCCCCCTTTTAACCTAACAACTCATAAATAAATAACATGTCTTTTTTTCTTAATTCTCTCCCATGAAAAAGGGAAATTGCTATCCTAGATTTTTGCTAAACGATAGACTTCCAAAACTGTCAAAATCTTATCAGATATGGAAAACAGAATTCATAATCCAGTTTGCACTAGGATTCTCGCAATGTAAAAGAACTCTTCTGGGCTTGGTCACTTCATAAAAGTTGTAGTCTTGGATGTGTAGATGAATTTGGACTTTTGAATCACCTGCTTTCGATATCTGAAGCTCTAGTTAGGCCCATTCGAAGACTCAATACTCAGCCAAGAAATCCTTCCACGAATAGAATTCCAGGTCCGGTTTTGCAACAACTAATGAGGGCCCAAACGAACTCGGATTCTCGCCCATAATACCTTCCTGGAATGCTTGATTCGTCTACTTTACTTTTTCTGAAGAACACTTTTACAATCGAGAAATCTGACTCTATGAAAAACCTGAAAACTGCAGCATTGGTCAGAATAACAAAAATATGGAATTGCCTAATCTTTTCTCAATTATTTCATAAAGTCTATCCAAATATGCCAAACTTACAAAATAAACTCTAATCAACTCAACTATACATAAAACATAACAAAAAACATAATATGGAATGAATAAAAATATATAAGTTACACTCTTATCAATCTGGCCGTCAATGGCCAGATCGATAGCCGTTAACGGTCATGTCTGTGGCTGTCAATAGCCATCGATCTGGCCGTTGACTGCCAGATCGATGGTCGTCAATGCCACGTCTATGGTTGTCAATGGCCATCGATCTAGCCGTCAATGGCCATCGATCTAGCTGTCAATGGCCATCGATCTAGCCGTCAATGGCCAGATCTATCATGTCTGGCCATTTTCGGCCAAATCTTTGGCCGGAAATGGCCATACGGCACACGGAGGCAATTTTCTACCCTCTATGTGTCGTTAGGTTGCCGGCTGCTGGCTACCTGCGGTGGTTGCCAACGGTTGGCAGTGGCTAGGTTGGTGGGGGTGTTTTGTTGATTTTCCAAACTTTTATTATGGGGTTGTTTTTGCTAAGTTTTTAAATACAGGGGGGTTATAATAATCCAAATAATAATCAATATTAAACAAAAATATTTAATCAGAGGACAATTCAGTAATTTAAATAACATACCCACCAATTTATTCCTCCCAGCCAAATATATTAATAAACATACCCACCAATTTATTCCTTCCAGCCAAATATATTAATAAACATACCCACCAATTAACCAAACACATTTTCTTAAATATTCATAATAATTTTTAAGATAATCTAACTTTCCAATAATCTAATATTCCCAGTAATCTAACATTCTCTGAACCAAACGCCCCCTAAGAAGCAAATTGCATAGAGTGATTCTATATGCTCCCCATTAACTCTTTAACTAGTCCCATTTAAAACAAATTAACATTAATTCCAAAATTACCCTCAATTATAGATTTTTTTTTTTTNAAAAAAAAAAAAAAAAAAAAAAAAAAAAACATTAATTTTATTTAGTTTTCTATTTAGTGTACTTGTATTTGACCCTCCCATATACTTTTTTCATATGTATATTAAATTAGTTACAATCTAATGAATTCTGTTGGTTTTTCTATAATTGCATTCAAGAATAATAATACATTTACAAACACTATAAAAAATCTTTTATACAAAGTGACGTATCATAATATAATTGGATGAATTAATATAAAAAAAATCAAGTTAATAAATGCACATTAAATGATAATGAATGAAATGGCCATGCAAGAATATTGTCACCATGGTTATTAGTATCCTACGATATTCGATACATATCCTACGATACGATTCAATACGGATCGCCAATGATACATATAAAAGAGTGTATCCTAAACCTTTCGATACATTGATATCTATCTTACGATACGATACATATTGGTTCGTATCCTTAAAAATATCAATATAAATCGATACGACTTTATTAATTTGAGTCGAAGGCCCAAATTTTTTTGGGTTAGGTTGAAATAGATTGGGTCGGATCCGAGTCACCCAATTCGGTTCACTAAAATTCGCCCAAATTTACTCATTTTACATGAAAAAGTGAAGAGGAAGATGTGTTGCTCATTTTGTTTGATAATAATAATACAAGTGGAGATATATATATATATTGACATTAATCTTACAAATGATATGAATGGTTGAGAGGAAATGATATAAATTCTTAATTTTGATTATGTAATACTGTTAGAGTCATGAAAGTGACTCTACTTTGGTGACAAAAAGACCCTATGTGTTATTGAATTGAAGTTGTATTGAGACAATTAAGAGAAATTATGAATTTATGTTTAAAAATCATATTTTGAGTTTTTCTTACTAATTTGGCATGTTTGGATTTAAATTTGAGATTGTGTAAGTTGATATTAGGATGTGATTTATTTTCTAGGGTTGATGTTGTCTCATTTATGCCATTCAAGGGTCAAATTGTCATAATCTTGGGGTTGATTTTGTCACTTTCAAACATCCAGGGACCAAAGAATAATTTTCATTTTGTTCTATAAAAAGAAGATGAAAAGTCGCGTACAGGGGAGGCTGTTCACCCAGTTTTTCGGCGAGCTCTAGCGACCCTTCGTCTCCCTGTGGCGACGATCCATCTCCCCATGCACCGATCTTCATCAGCCACCGCAAACCGCCACTGGAAATCACGGAAACGCCGCGACGTTTAGTCTTCCAACCACCGCGACCTTTCGCCTTCCAGGCCAGTTTTGGCCATTTTTCGACAACGTTTCAGCTCCCCAAGAGTCGATCTTCACTCCCCACGGCTGGATCTACACTTCCCAAGCTTCAGCCGTCGCGAAAACCGCCGGAATCCGCGATTTTGCCGTCGCGCCTCTTCATCTTTCAGCCCAGATCCTGCTCATTTCTGACGACTTCTCACCTCCCCAGGACCTGATCTGAACTCCCCATCACCAGAGCTTTCCATCGGTACCTT